ACTGGACTCTTCAGAATCTGGTCTGCTGCCAATGTCAGCAGGTGTCCCAGTCTTTGTGTTCTTCGGCTGGCTCTCTGAGTCTTGCGGCTCAGCTGAAGAGCTAGCCTTTTCCCTTTCGGGCCCTTTTTCTCTGGGCACGGATCCTTGGGCCGAAGCACTTAGGCCTTTCGGCTTTTTTGTGCTTGGCTCTCTTTCTTTTTCTTTCTCCTCCTCATCCTTGTCGTCATCTGGGCGACTACTGGATGGCTTGAGGTAGTTGCACCTTCGGGCGTCCTTTTGGTTGCCCTGTATCCTTTCGGGGAAGCCGGCGTCTGAGACGTAAATCATCAGCTGATGATAAGTTGAGACGACCCCTTGGATCTCGTGAATTATGGGTCTCCCCAAAATCACGTTGTACACTGAAGGAGCATCGATGACCAAAAATTCAATCATGACGTTCCGGGCTGCCTCATCGCAACCGATGGTGACAGGAAGTGTCACCTTCCCATCTGGATAAGTTGAAGCCCCATTGAACCCGGATACCGGATAGGGTACCGGCGTAAGGTGCTTGGGCTTCAGCTTAATTTGATTGTAGGCCTTTCGGAACAGAATGTTTGCTCCACTGCCACCGTCAACAAGGACCTTACTGACGTCGTGGTTGGCCACCGTGGCAATGATCACCAACGGATCCTCGTGAGGGAACGTAATCCCCCGGCAGTCGGCGGCTGTGAACGTCATGTTCGGCACCGGCGACTGGGGAGATTGAATGTCAGCGTTGTTCACCTGGTGAGTCAAAGCTCTAAGGTGGCGCTTGTGCTCCCTCCGAGAGTATATTCCTCCCGAGATAACATTGATCGGAGGGAATTTCCCCTCCGGCTTTTTACTGTTTTTCCGGGGGAAATCAAGGTCCTGCCGAGGGTCCTTTGCTGACCTCTCGGATTCTTTTTTCTCGCGGTGATCCGCGATGTATTTTTTCAAGTATCCCTTCCGGACCATGTCCTCTATCTGGTCCTTCAGTTGGATACACTCCTCAGTGTTGTGGCCCGAAGACTCGTGGAACTCACACCACTGATTTTTATTTTTTCGCTGATACCACTCTGGGAGTGGTCTCGGCTTTCGGTAACTCTGCTCCTCCTTCGTCACACTGTAAATTTTGGCGCGTGGAAGAGAGAGCGGAGTGTAGGACTCGTATCTGCCTGTGTACGAGGCAAATCTTTCCTTCTTTGGGTCGTTGGCCAAAGATTGCTCCGGGGCCTTTGATTTTCCCTTTGCCTTGTGGCCTTGGCCTTCAGACAAGGGTATTTGCCTCTGTTTCCCTCCCCCGGATTGAGGTTGGGTTTTCGCTTTGTTCCATTCTTCGGCTCGGATGAACTTATCCGAAGCACTAAGAGCTTCCTCCAAAGTCTGCGGGGTATGCATGACCATGAAGTCTAGGAACTTTCCTGGCTGAAGGCCATTCTGCATTGCGAAAACGGCTAGCCCCTGGTCCAGCTGGGAGACGCTTGATGACTCGTTACTGAAACGGGTCAGGTAGTCTCGGAGGCTTTCAGTTTCCCCCTGTTGCAGACTCATGAGCTCTGCGGTAGTCTTCTCTCGGCGGTTTGCCGTGGAAAACTTGCTCCTGAACTTGGAGGACAGATCATCCCACCCTGTTATGGAGCCTTGCCTTACTCCCTTGGAGATCCACGCTTGCGCGACCCCCTTGAGAGTGGTTGGGAAATATTTGCACCAAGTCGCCTCGGATCTGGGGCAAAGATGCATATGAGTCTCATACGAGGCCACGTGGTCCTTCGGATCCGTGGTCCCGTCATATGTGATATGCGACGGTATTTTAACCGTGGGTACGCGCTCTTCCAGTATCCATTGCTCGAATGGTGAACTAGCGGGTAGCATAACGGCCTTCCCTTGTCCTAGCCGAAGGGACCGCGCTCCGCCCTCTTAGAGAGGTAGGAGTGGTTTTCGTCCCTGGCTGGGAAGTCTGGGCCTCGGCTGCAGGGAACGAGAGGCGACTACGCACGCTCGGTTCCTGGCCGCCGAGTCGGTCAAGGACGCTTCTGCGAACAGTCTCAGGTTCTCGGTGAGTAGATTCTGGCCGAGAAGCTGAGCTGCTGCTCTTATGCGCTTCTGGTCTTGAGGATGAGGATCCTTTTAAAAATTGAGGGTTCTTTTTCCTCTGTTTTTCATTTTTCCAAGAATCCTCCTCCCACTCTTCCAGTTCCCGGAAGGAAGGAAGCTTCCCACCATCATGGTCTAACTTCCTCCGCTGATGCCGGGTATGCGGAGGAGTTCGATCACGAGGTGGTGGCATATTTTGTGCCCTCATCGCCTCCATGAGTACTGCCAGCGCTCTTGCCACCTCTTCCGAACTGGGCCCCGTCAAAGGGGTCCTCGGCCGAGTGTGGGAATGAGGCCGCGCAGCCGATGGTTGGCTTTGGGACACTGAATATGTCCTATGATCGGACTGACCCCTGCTAGACCGAGAGTGGCCCGGCCTATATTGAGAGTCATGAATTACGGGAGATAGGGAATCCTCCTTGTATGATCCTCCCTCCGAGCCGGCACCCTTGGGAGAGTTCCGGTCCGGCGAGGGCGATGGTGTAGGGGTTTTATGCTTTTCGCCCGCTCCTTGACGGAGGCTTTTGCTCTTGCGGTTCTTAGCCATTGCTGCTAAGATAATTGCAAGATGATCTTGGTTAGGAATTTGGCTTAAAGATTTTTGAAAGTCTTCCCCACAGACGGCGCCAAATTGTTTCGGGTGAAAACAATGGGACCTTGCCGAAGGTCCGCTGAGATGGAGAAGACTGGATTCGGTCCAAGTTATGTTGGGCCGAAGGTTTCCTGCACAGTAAACACACGTAAACTAGCCTCGGGGGTGTTGCCGAGGAAGGCCCCTCCGATGCTAAAGTCAGTACAATGTGTAAGAAGAAGACACTATGCAAGAGAGTTTGTAGCTTGAGGCTTTTATGGAATATATCAGAATGTATGAATGAACTCAGAATATGAATATGAATGTGAATGTCTCAATATGATGGCTTTTATACCTCATCATACATGGAGAGGTTGGACCTTAGCCCAATTGGCTTGCTTTGTGGGCTGACCTTTGACTTTAGCACAATTGGAGAGTTGAACCTTGACCTTGGGCTTTTAATTGGATCATTTAGTGCTTAGGCCCAATTGGACTAAATTGGACCCAAACATGGAGTATATAATTGGGTTTTAAGATGTTTTAAATTACATTGATTTTAAATTGCTAACAAACCCTTTATTTTCTCAATCAACCAAGTTGCTTGTAACTTTGAATTCAAAGTATGTACTTTTCAGCGAGTTTTCTAAATCCAAAATACAATACGGAACCTTTTTATTGCTAGCTACATCTTTCTTTTGTGCAAAAATTCTCAATGTTTTAAACAAATATAAATGCATATTATGCTCATCACAAATTCTAATATGTAGTTATATATATTAGCCACCGTACCACACCATTAGTTGATGGTATGATCAATTCATATATAAGATAAATAATTGAGTAGTGATGTTACGATAATAATTAAATGGGGTTACCTAGCAAGATAGAATTGAAGAGGGGTAACTCCTATGATAATGAGGTTAATATCATAAATGAGGTTATTTTTTTTATAGGTAATGCTATATGTAGCCACTAGCCCTTAGGGTTATGAATAAGCATTAAATATATTTCCTTATTTGGTAATTAATGAATATATTTCATTAACACTTTCTACTTTTAGCTTCTTATACATAGCCCTAAGGGTTATATATAGCATTTTCCTTTTTTTTATTAATCAAAACGAAAAATGGAGGTTACTTGAATGAACAAAGAAGAATATAAGATTACTTTTCTTAAGAAAAATAAATTGATGTTGCTCGTTGAATAAATTTGATTACTGTTAGGTACAACCACGATTACTCTTATGTATAAATGAGGTTATGCATACAAACAAATATGGATTATTCTTAAAAGTTAATGTGGCCACAAACTAATCTACATACATCTTTTGAAAAAAAGATGTAGCCATGTAGGGCGTGTTCAGTACAAGCTTGTGACTTTTTACAGTGGTTTGACCAAGTCAAATCACTGCTTTAAAAATCTGAATATTTGTCAAAGTAGTGATTGGAGTAGCTTTTAGTGATGAAGGTAGGTTGTCTTTTTTTTGTTTTTTTTTTTCTTTCTTTCTTTCTTCTTCTTCTTCTTCTTCTTCTTCTTCTTCTTCTTCTTCTTCTTCCGACAACTTTTTATTAACTTTTGAAAATTAAAAGTAGTGTTAAAGGAAAAAAAAGTATTAATTTTTATATGTTAACAGCTAACCAACAATTACTCGTCGAACGTACACTCATATTTCAATTATCTATTTTCACAGTTAAAAATTTGTCAACAGCTAACAATTACTTGTACAACTAATCGCTACTACCATAGCTAACAACTACCTCCACAACTATATTTTATCAAATGCGCTCATAATAAATAATAATACTCCGTATTATTATTGTGTACTAAATTAATGTCCTAATAATCACAATACGCACAATGATTAGATTAGATTACACAAGGGTAGCGTACCTAATCCTACTATAACAAAAAAATTATCATTAATCCAAAGTGGTATAGCCGCATAGGATATGATTCAACTAGCACTAAAATAAATAGCACTAAATCACTCTTATATGATCTCTTAATCTCAGGATTAAGATACTTGATTAAAAAATCAAATCGAATCAATCTTAACACATCAATCTTACCATAATCTGGGACCCTCTTGATAATTTTTTTAATATTTAATATATTTTTTTATTTGAATAGTCTTGATACTTAATTAAAGTAATCTCCACTTCACAAATTAAATAATTAGATAAATAAATAATGGCAAAATAGATTATCCAAAACTCAAGCAACCAAAGTTACCAAACCTTCCTTTTTCTTTTTTATTTTTCTTTTCTTGCTCTTTCTTTAATTTTTTTTTTTTTTTTTTTAATCTTTCTACTACTTGTTTTACTCTTCTTTTAATTCAAACCTAACCAAAATATCAACCCACTTTTATAAATAAAGATATTTTACAATTAAATTTGAAAATTTTAGGTGGGTTTTTATTTTTCTCTCTCTAGCTCTCCCTCCCCACCCACTTGAGGAGAGCAGAGGGGTCAACAATGGTAGTCTAATTTTTGCGATTTTCCTATTAAAGATTGCAAATTTTTCCAATTCTCGCATAAAAGAGTGTAATTTCTTGCAAATTTTGAAAAAAGATTGAAAATATATTAATAAAGATTGAGAATAAAATTGTAAAATTTGCAAATTGGGAAAGTAAAAAGATGTTTGGGTGGGGTTGTTTTCATTGGAACAGAAGATTAGAGTATTTTGAAGTTACACAATCACCTGAGCCCTTTTCTTTGCCTGCTCCTCTGCCTCAATGGCCTCAAGGTATGTGCTTCTAAATTTCTAATTCTATTTTTTTTTTCTTTTTTGGAATTTTTTGAGTGTGTGATCACTGGAATTTGATTAAAGACTTGATCTTTTATTGATTTTCTTTCTTTTTTTTTATAAGTAAGTTTTTTTTTTTTTTTTTTTGGTACCTGTTTGATTCAATTTGAATATGAAATCAGTGAAAATTTTCTATCAAAAAAAAAAAAAAAGAAAAAAAACAAAACAAAAACTGAAATTTGATGATAATGTTTGAACCTTTTTGTGGGTTGTGCTGCATGTGTTATTTGTCTCCTTGAATTTGGGCAATTACCCAAAACCGAAGTTTGAAATAAATAAATAAAAGCTTATTTAGTAGTTTTTCTTTCCAATAAAGACTATTCTGGATAATTTATGAGTCTTCATAAAGTACTTCATAAATTGCCATTAATTGATGAGTCTTATATCACAAATCATAAATAGTCCATTAATTGGAGTAATTTCTATTTTTTTAATCCATAAATTGGATAATTGTTGTTTAGAAATTGTAATTTGGTAACTTTTGATCAATTGCTAGATGCTAGAAAATTGAACTGATAATGAATTTAAAAGTGTTAATTACTTCTTGTTACCATTCAATTGAAATTGTTGATGCAGTCAGGTAGATGGGATTTTTGGGTACTAACTTGCACGACTTTACCAATTAAGCTAGCAAACTTTCACATAAAACTAAATTCTGTTGTTTGTACATCACTCCCTTTATCAGTTTGATTGATGATTGTTTTATCTTGTCATCCACAATTCCAAGATTAAAGAATTTGTCCTTTTTTCACAAGGTGAAAGGGAAATCTTTGTCTTTCAAGAAGTTGTTTGTTTTTCTTCCTATGTTAATTATTAGACACAGAAAAGCCAAATGAATGTACGTTTGTTTCTTAGTATAAATTAACAATTTTGGAAGTTCAAAGATTATTTTTTTTTTGTTTCTGCACATGTTCTTTGGATGCTATTATATTGTTTTGAAGAGGTAAACCTCTGTTTGTTTAATCGTCCAACCTTTTCCTCAAATTAAGGGGAAAAAGATTTGGTGTGAAGTGATACTGACTTGATAACTTATCCCACGAAACGCCATTTTTCTGCTGGGTTCATGATTTGATCATATATTGTTTTCGGGATGCTAATTGCTAATGATCTTGATGACATATTGGTCTTAGGTGATGGTTTTGCCACGGGAAGGATACGCCTCGGGGAGTTGGAGGTTGCCAAGATCACCAAGTTTGAAAGTGTTTGGAGTTGCAACCCATATCGTAGAAATAAAAATGCAAAAGTTGTAACATTTTATAGGCCTGTGGGGATTCCGGATGGATTTTTTTGTCTCGGTCACTATTGCCAATCAAATGAACATCCGTTATGGGGTTTTGTCCTGGTTGCTAGGGAGGTTAAACAATCGTTAGATCTTCCTGCTCTACAAAGACCACTTAACTATTCGTTGGTTTGGAGCTCAGATTGTGGTTTTATTTGGTTGCCTAATGCTCCAACAGGCTATAGAGCGCTGGGCCTTCTGGTTACAGATACACCAATTGAGCCTTCAGTTGACAGCATTCGTTGTGTTCGACTAGATTTGACACAAAATTGTGAAGCTTGTGAAATGATACTTGATGATGATTTTACAATTTGGGAGACGAGACCTTGCAAAAGGGGTTTGTATGGAAGAGGCGTATGTGTAGGTACATTCTTTAGCAGTACATATGGGATAATCAATGAAGATGTGGTAACCACGGCATGTCTGAAGAACCGGGATCCTACCCTACACGCAATGCCTAATTTGGAGCAAATCCATGCCCTTATCAAGCACTATGGACCCACAGTGTATTTCCACCCTGATGAGATCTATATGCCCTCATCAGTGCAGTGGTTTTTCGACAATGGGGCACTCTTGTACAAGAGTGGTAAAAGTGATGGCGAGAGAATTGATTCTAAAGGTTCACAATTGCCTAAGGATGGCTGTAATGATGGGGAATTTTGGATAGATTTGCCAAAGGATGAAGTGAAACGGGATTATGTCAAGCGCGGGAACTTAGAGAGTGCAGAATTGTATGTTCATGTGAAACCAGCGTTTGGTGGTACATTCACTGACATTGTAATGTGGGTCTTTTGCCCCTTCAATGGGCCTGCAACCCTTAAAGTTGGATTGGCCAATATCCCACTGGCTAGAGTAGGAGAGCACGTAGGTGATTGGGAGCATTATACTCTTCGTGTGAGCAATTTCACAGGGGAGCTGTGGAGCATATACTTCTCAGAACACAGCGGCGGTAAGTGGGTTGATGCTACTAATTTGGAATACATAAATGGAAACAAGGCTATTGTTTATTCATCTAAATGTGGTCATGCTAGTTATGCACATTCCGGAACTTATCTCTTAGGGCCTTCTAAGCTTGGTATAGGGGTGAGAAATGATGTTGCTAAAAGCAAATATTATGTGGACTCAAGTACCAAATACAAGATTGTTGCTGCCGAGTATCTTGGAGACACCATTGAAGAACCGTGTTGGCTTCAGTACATGAGAGAATGGGGGCCAACATTGATGTACGATGCACGTTCTGAGATAGACAAACTAATGAATCATCTTCCCATATTTGTACGATTCTCAATGGAAAACTTGCTGGATATATTCCCAACTGAGCTTTATGGCGAGGAAGGGCCAACAGGACCCAAAGAGAAGGATAACTGGTTCGGCGATGAAAGATGGTGATCACCTTCAAAGAAGGCTAAGGCACTTCAATTGGTGGGAACGGGAAAAGCAATCGTTTTCCTTCAATACCGGTTAGATGGATTTAGCTCCGCCCCTGAATATTTACATCAGTTTGAGTGGTGTGACGAAAATTGAGTTAGTTGAGTATGTACATATTTGTCTCTCGGTCACCCTGATATCCTTTCTAAAGTAGCTTCCGAGAAGGGCCATGGGTGTTGCAGAGGCTAAACTCTTGACATAAACTGTGAAATGGTTAATTGTCTGTTTAGAGTGGGATTACCCGATAATTCGTATACTTGAAATATTGTATTATAACTTGCCCATATTTTCATTTTTCAGTTCATTCAATTGTTAATCCAGCATAGTTTATCGATTCAAAGTTTCTCAATGTACATGTGATATACGAACTATATTATTCCTGCTTCAATGATGCAGAATCTCACTCGAGAAGAAACCTTTTCATTTTACGTAGTACTGTCTAGATAAAATGATTTGATTTCCTTTGAATTTTTTTGCTTTGGGTAACTTTATAATTTGTTGCAATTTCAATTTTATGTAAAGAGATTTTTAAAGGATAAGTTTCATTAAACATAATATTATACTGAAAATTTGGTAAAAATTACCCTATAATTAGACAATAAGTCACGATGTACTGATATACTCACTCCGTTTCGTAATAATCGCAATACTTTCTTTTTACATTCGTTTCATAATAGTTGCAACACTTCCTATTTTAGTAACGACCCACTCCTATTTTATTATTTCTCTCTCCCACTTACCATACTTGCATAAATATTTAATTATTTCTCTCTCTAACAAACCCACTTATACTATTTTTTTTGTTATTATGTCTTTCTCATACTAACAATAAAATATGTTCCCACTAACTATATATTATAAAATTCACCCTATGATCCCTGTCCTATAAATATCCTAAAACTTCATGCAAGGTCTACTGTTGCGATTAATACGAAACGGAGGGAGTAGTATAAAGTTGTTGTACACCTGGTGCACCTAAAAATTTTAATATTTTTCTCACTACTCTATACGTGAAAGCTACATAAAGCTTTATGGACATTCTATAATTGTGGACCCTTGCTTCCATTGGCATACAAATTCATTTCCAAACTATCATATGCAATCTTTTCTTCGAAGAAAAAATAGACATAATTATTCCATATTTACTTAAAGATAACCCTAAGTTATGCTTCCCAAACTAATATGAATCTATTTGACTTAGTTATACACAACCTAAAAGACTTTGCAAATATATTCACTCTATCTTTATAAGTTTTTTCCTATTTAAACGGTGATTGTCTTACAAAAAAATGTCAAAATATGAAGAATATTTAGAAATGGAAAAAGTATTAAATAATTCATAATATCTTTAGGATCCCCAATAACAAGGGGGTGTTGAGTCTGTTAGACCTTGGTTACACAAAACTTGTTCATTTATTTTTAATCCCAAGGCTCAATGTGTGGGTTTTTTTTTTTTTTTTTTTTTAGCTCAAACTTAGCTCGCTTAGATCTCAAGTCGGGGGAGGGGGAATAAAATTAATGTTAAGAGTTAGAGCTTAGATCTCAAGTGGGGGGGGGGGATAAAATTCATGTTAAGAGCTAGAGCCTAGATAGCTCAGGCTTGGCTCGCTTAGATCTCAAGGCAAGCCTGCTCGATAGGGATTTTGACCTAGCTGAGCCTCAATTAGTTCATGTACAAGCTCACCTTGTTAACACCTTAACCATAATTTTACAAGTAAAAATCGGCCCTGCCATTTGATCATTTATGATAGCAATAACATACAATACAACATATAACATACAGTACTATGTATTGTTTTTAGATTAAACACAGGTTTAAGTATTAAATTATACTGTACTATATTCATTCCACAATAAGAGAACCACTGGGCAGAGTGGGCACACTGAATACTTCAGTCTATACAACAAACTAGTAAACTAAACTACTTAAGAAATAAGAACCATCCTTCACCATTAACACAAGGACTACAATTACAGAACCAAACAAAGGAAAGGAAAAAAATAAAGGAAAAAAAGAAAGAAAGAAAGAAAAAACAAACAGAAAATTAAGAAAGTTAAAACCAAACAAAAACACATCACTTCATTTTATAAGCATATAACATCAGAAAACCAGGTTAAGTAAACCACTGCCCGAAAACTATGTATTATACATCACTCTAATCTTAGTGAGTCCTGATGCCATGACCAGAATTCGCCCCGGAGCTGTGCACATTCCTAAGACAGTAGTTAATAGAAGGTGCAGGGGGTTCGGTTTTAACCATTTCAGCAATTTTACCGATGATCATGGTCTTAACCTGCCCTCGCCTTGGTGGCAGAGTTGTGATTCCTCCATTTTCCATCATTACTGCTTTCGTAGTGAGACAAATAGAAGAAAAATAAGACGGAGAAGATTACTTGTGTTTCTAGGAGAAGGGTGTGTAATGAGTTGAAGAGAAATGGCTGAAGCCTTCGTTTAAGTAGTGGTGTAGTGGTATAGTAATGCAAATATTAAATTGTTAAGATTGTGACATGCATGATAAATATGCACATCAGCTTGTTTATCAAACTTTTAGACTTGCGAAAAGAGTGAATTGCAAGATTTTGAAAATGAGTAAAAAAGATAAGAAAAAGGAGGGAACGAATATATTTATTCTAGATACATGGCCATGTATTATATGTTATTCTGATGCACCCTTAATTAATTGGATATATAATAAGTGAGTGTGATTTTAGAAAATTCTAGCAGAATATGTACTCCTACAGTGCTGCAGAAAGTGGGCATATCTTAAAAGACTTGAGGGGACTCATCAAAGCTTGAACTTTCGTGTTTCATTAACCTGAGTAGTGAGTATCTAAACTAAATTATCTAATCTAAACTTAGTAGAACTTATTGTAATTGTAGTTTGAAGTTAGATAACCCTTATCTTCCTAAAATAAATAGTACTATAATAAGGTTAATTGAACAGGGCTAACTCATACAAGAATACTCTATCATTAAATTCGACATATTATATACTTTCTCATATAAACACAACATAAAGATACAGTTTATTAAAAATTAAATGAATTGAAAACAAAAAACCTTGTGATGAGTAGAAAGAGATAGAGCAATGAAATAAAGTGCCTATGGACTGCATAAACATCCAAAAAGGGTGTTAAACCTTGCGCCACTGCACCTTAAAGGCCAAAATATATGCACAATTGCCCCGAAACGTATGTTCATAGATGCATCACAATTCACACATGTTCGACAATTACTATATAAAGGCATGCAGCATTATAGAACTTCAGAAAATAATCTAGTGCTTACAGAGTTGGCACTGACACTCGTGTACATAACAATTTCTAAAAGAAACGTCTCATACCGTTGAGCTTATGACTTGTAAATGCCTGCTTACCACATACGTAGTATATAACAGTTTCATCACCATACCCCCCACTAATGACATATAATGAACTCAAATTCAAAAAAACAAATCACAAATTTCAAGCTTGAACAAAATGAAGGTTTTATATCATATTGTGATCCCAAAAAATGGCTAATCATTGTTTGCTGTACATTGTAAGGTTGTAACTATTTGATCCTAATTCGGAGCAGGATCAGGGGTTAAAGGCCTACGGCTGCCTACCAATGTCATAAGTGTAGTATAGGGAAAGAATCATCATGGCATCTAAAGGGGCATAGCTAGCAAGATACTATACAAAAAAACAAAAATTTACTAACAAGGATCAAGCTATATGCAAAATGGGCTATCGCCCTAACGAGATCCTTGACCACTAACCTTTTCACTTGCTATCCCTATTGAGGTTTTCCCAACTAATATGCTGGCCACATTCCCCACAAACAGTACTGCAACCCACTTTTGTTCCTTGGAACCTCAGAGTATACAAATGGGAAATATTGGTGCATTTCCGTGCCTGCATACTGTACTTTGTAGGAATATTAGCCAAAGGATTGGAATCGCAGGTTTTCTTCTGTGAACTGCATGATGTGTTGAGGGTGCTCTTATTTTGCTCAAATGTTGACATGTCAACTGGAACTCTACTCACTTCCTGCCACTCGATGTCAACTGGAGCTCTTTGCACTCCCTGCCACTCCATACTTCTTCTGAATACTTCCCACGCTAAATCTTGTTCTTCTTTTGTAAGCTTTTCCTCTTCATTTTCCTGCAGCAGCGTCTCATGCTCATGGAAATTCATTATCCATCTGAACAAAGAAGGCGAATTAGCATGTAGGCAGGGTAGTAATAGACTTAACAAATAGGAGAGGATAGAACTAGACAGCTGGAGATGAATTCAATCCATACAGGATGCACAAGGGGAGAGCTAATCAGATCTAGACAGTGTAGACTTTAAGCGGTTATGAACTAAATCTCGTTCTTTTTAGTTGACACGTTTCTTTTACTATGTTTGCCAACACAAAAGTTCAACGATTAATATCTTAAACTATCAATCAGTAAAAAATATAAAAATTTGATATTATGAAAATATGCGTTGATACAATTCAAACAAGATCATGCATGACTATGTATTATTATCATAATTATAAATCACAAAAGTTACTTAAAAAAAACAAAAAATAAAACAACACTAGATACCCTTAAAAATTAGAAGAATACCTTAGGCGATGCCGATCAAGTAGCTTTTCCATTAGCTTATCAGAAGAGCAGCTACTGGGACATTCAGATGAACTCAGTTTCAACGAATCGTCGGCCTTTCTGCGGTTCATACGCTCATTATTCACTTCCAAATCAGAAAGCACATCAAGGTTCTCATCATCACCAAAGTCAAAGAGATCTGAAATCTCTTCTTTAGACATACTCCTCAGGACTTGTTGTCTATCAACCACCCTTGCAGCAAGACCCTCCTTTTTCACCTGCAAAACTTGCACTCTTAGGAGACTAACTCATAAAAGAGAGGCAAGAAATCTCTTGAGGCTAAAATCTTTAAGTGATACCTGGCGTTTGTAGATCTTTTCTTCCAAAGTCCCATGTGCCACCAATCGATAAGCATATACAGGCTTTTTCTGGCCATATCTGCATGAGTGTTTGGAGGGGGGAGGAGCAAAAGATAAGGAGTCTTCAGAGAAATAAATCAGTCAGAATCAGCAACAAAAATAACAACACACCTCCATGCACGGTATATAGCCTGGAGATCATGTGTTGGATTCCAGGAACCATCGATTATGATTACGCGATTGGCAGCAAAAAGATTGATCCCCAAAGCTCCAGCTCTTGTTGATATAAGAGTACATTTCACTCTTCCATTTTGAGGATTGTTAAATGCATCAACAAGCTTCTGCCTTTCAGAACCTTCCGTCTTTCCATCAATCCTGGCGCATACAAGACATCAGAAATACCACTAAAATGCTAACTCGACATGGCAACTAAGACAGACAGAAAGAAACATATGCAAGCAAGTGCACAAGCACACCCACACAAAAAGGATG